TAGTATGATATAGTATAATATAATATAGTATAGTATAGTATAATATAATACAATATAATATAATACAATATAATATAATATAATATATTATAATTTAATATAATACAATATAATATGATATCATATAATATGATATGATATGATATAATATAATATAATATAATATAATATAATATAATATAATATAATATAATATAGTATAGTATAATATAATACAATATAATATAATATAATATAAGATAAGATAAGATAATATAATATAATATAATATAATATAGTATATTATGTAATATTATATCTATATATATATATATGTATGAAAATACAGAGCCTGTAACAATGAACCTATAACCCATAATCCGAGACATCTAGTACATGAAACAGAGCAGGCCTTGGCAAGAGGGTTCCCCGGGAAGTTTCGGGCTTCGGGCTCTGGGGTTCGCGAGGTTGGGAACCTGAAGCCCGGAGATTTGGCTCCGGGTTCAGGTTTGGGTTTGGGCTTAGAGATGAGAGTTTAGGGCTTCGGGTTGAGTGTCTAGGGTTTAAGGTCTAGGGTTTAGGGCTCAGGGTTGAGGGTCTAGGGTTTAGGGTCTATGGTTTAAGGTCTAGGGTTTAGGGCTTAGGGTTGAGGCTCTAGGGTTTAAGGTTTAGGGTTTAGGGCTTAGGGTTTAGGGTTCAGGGTTCAGGTCTGGCAGACTGCTCATACCATTAGCACAGGGTCTGGGGTTTAGGGCTTAGGGTTTAGGGTTTAGGTCATAATTGCCGCATGGAGCCCTCAGGAACAGTAGAAGTAATTCTTTTGGGTCCTCAGAGAGCAATGTGCCGTGCTTGTAAATCCTTCAACTTGAACCCCAAACCCTTAAAAACTTGCGAACCCTGCAGTCGTCCCTGGAGCTCTGAAACATGAAGCCCCCAACCCCAACCCCCAACCCCCACTTGGAGGTTAATATGGGTTATAAGTCCCCTGATATGGGGGTTCTATAGGGTTTAGGGTTCTATGGGGCTGAGGGTTTGAGGTTATAAGTCCCCTAATATGGGTTATAATTATAGTTACCCTACTTATGACTCCACTTATACCTACCCATGAACCTCCAAGCAAGTCGGACTTCCGGGCCAAGATGCCCTGAAGATACGACCCCAAGCCATGTCTCGGTGGGCCAGAGACATATTCTGCCGGAGGCTGTGTATGGTCGTATCTGCTGTTTCTGGGTTGTATGAGTATAATTACTTGGTAAATGTCGTGTAGGAGTGTATATCAGGAGCCGCACGAGAAACAAAATTGTTCGAAAGCCTTAGAAGGGTCTTGATGGAGCTGTAGGAGTCGTAAAACAATATCAGGAGTGAGCACCACCTGAGATCTTTTCATGTTTTGGTTATGGCAGAGTGCACTTCAAAGGCCCATGCGGGCCTGTTCGGGCCCTAAACCCCAAACCCCGATCCAAACCCAAACCCTAAACCCCAAGCCCTAAACCCTAGGCCCTAAACCCTAAACCCCAAACCCCAAACCTTTAACCCTGAACTCTAAACCCTGAACCCTAAACCTTAATCCTTAAACCCTAACCCCAAACCCTAAACCCTACCGTACTTCTCAAGCTCTGCCCCTTGGAGCTCTGGCTGTCGCAGGACCGCTTTGAGCGCTTAGAGAAGCTGCCCCTTGGAAGGGAGGTTCGTCATGTAGGGGCCTTCAGAAGTACCTGTTTAAGGTTTAGGGTTTAGGTATCAGGGCTTAGGGATTAGGGTTTAGTCTAGGCAGTAGGGGTTTGGGTTTAGGTGGGCTCCTTGTTGTAGTTATAGTATGATGGGCCCCAAAACCCTATTCTAACTATTGAGGCCCCTACAGTAAGTGCCCTGCTTACAACGACTGAGGATGCCGGACGTAAGACTCTCTCTCTCTCTCTCTCGCTATGTCGCTTCTTGCAAGTGTGAGATCCAAGGATGATCCGAGCGACGAAGGGCTCCAAGAAGAAGGCTACTCGCCTAAGCGCTCTCAGTAGCGGCGGCGCTTCCAACAGCAGCGGCACAGGCCTCAGTCATGTGAGACTCGTCCACTGTGCATTGTTTAGACATGTACGTTTTTGCCGCAGATAAAGTGGGATGCAGCATTCAGAAGGCACAGATGCCGAGACCTTGCATGATTGCTTTCAACCCATAGGCTTAAAGCAGATGAGCTCGAAGGCCCCCAAAAAAACTTTTTGCTACCATGAGTGGGACCAAAAACCTTGAACCCCAAGCCCTAAACATCCCTAAACCCCCAAACCCAGAGCCCCCCCAAAAACCTTAAACCCCAAGCCCTAAACATCCCTAAACCCCCAAACCCAAAGCCCTAAGTGGAAATCCCCAAAACCCCTAAACCCCAAGCCCTAAGCCCTAAACCCTAAACCCCAAAACCCTTAAACTGCGGAAGGCAAGTCGTGCGGCTCCAGCTCAAGCTCTGACCATCTGACTGATGACGGGCCTTAGAATCAGAAAGGCACCTCGAGGGTTCTTTAAAGGGGGTCCTCTAAGGGTTCCTTGTAAGGGCTCCTTTAAAGGGTTCCTTTACGGGTTCCTTTGAGGGTTACTTTAAGGTTCCTTAAGGGTTCTATGAAAGGCTTCTATAAGGGGTCTGCACGGGTTCGGCTTCTCATTCCTGACTCACTGATGCCCCTGTCAGTGTCAGTTCTTGCACGTACTCGTAGGTGCTCGTAACATATGCTACTGTGTCAAAGTCTTCCTGACCTTATTCCGCAAACAGTATGGTAAGGGTGAACTGTTCGGAGGTTCAGAATGGGAGAAAAAGGGAGTTCGGTTGCCGTGCTGCGCAAGGGGTCGGCGACACTTTGGCTACGGCCATATATATATATATATATATATATATATTTCATTATACTATGCTAGAATGTAAATTTTTCATGTTATATTATCACGATTATTACATCATGTTATACTTGTTCATATCATGTTGTCATATCACGTTATGTTGTTTTATCTTATGCTACATTATTGTATATGGTGTTATATTCTGTTGGTATTGTGTTATCTTATATTAGTAGTCTATTTCATATTCTAGTACATTATACTGTATTGCATCATACTATGTTATATTATGTTATGTTGTGTCGTGTTATGTGTTGTCATGTTTATGTTTTGTCATGTTATGTTATGGTTTGCTATGCTATGCTTAGTTGTGCTGTTCTATTTTATTTCGTAGTTTATTACATTATAGTATATCAGGTTATATCACATTTATCATATAATATGATGTTGTATTGTATTTGAGTATGTTACAATATATCATATCATATTTTCATATGATATGATATGTTATATTATACTCTCTTTCATCATGTTACACTACACTATAGCATACTATATCATGCTCTATTTCGCTACATTTTGTATCCATAGCACTAATCATAAACACATACCGCAGTGTTGTCCTGCTATGCCCCCCAAGGCCCGAAGGGTTGTGACAGGAGCTCTTCCCGAGTTGGAGTTTGCAAGTGAGAGGGGCTTCGTGAGTTTTTGCATGAGCTTCCTGATTTGCTTTAGGTTGTTATCCTTATAGTCCTACGTGTGTTGTTGCTGGTCTTAGTTCATCATTACCATTGCTCTGGACTAGAAAACAGTAGAAGGAATTCCACCTAGCCACCACAAGCCAAGGCCTCAAAACCAGCACCCCCAGCACCGTATCCACAAAATCCAAACCCAAGACCAAAAAAGCCCTCATAACCCAAAGCAGAACACGGAGCACTAAACCAGGATCCCATCGTCCAGAGTCTTAAGCACTGAAATACAAACGGTCAGTATAGGGCTCTGTCTCAGGTTTCGGTTTAACCATGGGAAGTATAGGGGGGGCATTATTATCAACTCTTCCCAAGCCGATGTGAGATCAAAACGACCCCCTACACAACCCCTAAAGTCCTAAAGAACCTTTCTTCTTCTTCTTACTGCAATTCAGTGCTACCAAAGATCGATGGCAGGTTCTTGCCTGAGGAGGCAGCCTTGTTTCCACTCGAGCATTCTGGCCGGCCGCCGGTGAAGCAAAGGATGCAACGGATAGAGCCTTAAGTTACTGCAAGGCAGGGGTCGGAATGAATAGGCTTATCCCGGATATGATATCATGACGGTTTAGGGCTTAGGGTTTAGGGAGCAGAGTAGTTTTTGAAAATCACACTCCAAGGGTTGCTGCAAGAGTTGTTACAACGGTTCCATAAGACTTTCAGGTGTTATAAGAAGGACAGCAACAGCAAAACCAGATAGAACAACAACAGGAAAATATGAATAAACAGTACTGGTAGCCCTTGAAGTCTTAAAGCAACTCTAGTCACTAGTCCCTAAACCCTAAACCCTAAACCCTAAACCCTAAACCCTAAACCCTAAACCCTAAACCATAAGTTGTTCACAATGATATCAACAACCATGTGTCGTTTACCCCTATGAAGGGAGGCAGGAGAAGAGCTGAAGGAGGACTTCGGGGTTTAGGGTTTAGGG